ACTTGGAACCTAACAGGTGTTTAGTGTTTGCTTGTTGAATGAATAAATGAAGGTTCCATTCCTCCTCCAACTCCTGTATCTAGTAATGTCTTGCTCTTCACTCCTCGATAGATAAGTCACTCTTTGCTCTCAGCTCTCAGAGTGCTCTAATGATAGTCCAGTCATCACAATTGTCAGAAACAATTGTGTTTACTTCTTATTTTCCTTACTAGGATCTGACCTATGTTGAAGGCATTAACTGAGTGTTTGGGGGATTTCAAAGTATTGTTGAACAACCCAAATTGAGTAGTCCTTACTGATCTGGGTGATAATAAACTTTTACAAGGACCACAATGAGATGTACATGGGGACATTTGACTTGAGCCTTATGCCTGAGGGTGCATGAAATTTTGCCTAATTTTCAGTGACATGGGTAGAGAGAGGAGGGCAAGAATTGACCATGTGCAGGCACCCAATAAGTATTTATTCTTGCCTTTCCATTTGATTTATTATTTTTTTAGCATGTCTTAGTGACGTTTTCTTTAAATGAATATGTAAGTTGGCCTGATACACTGCAGAGAAGCTGAGAATAAATGCCACTTTCAAAGAGAATCCCAGCACAGACCATGGTCTCTGAGATACTGGTCAAGGTTTGTCCTATCTCTGGCACATCTCTTGCAACTTCTTTTTGTGTTTTCCATTTCCACTTGTCTCACCATATCGAGTTCTTTACTATCTCCCGTCCAAAAGCAAGACAATCTCTGTTTTTATCATCTCCCACTTCAGTCCATTCTCCATGTCAGTTTGAAATTCCTAAAACTTGGCACTTCCCTGCTCAGAAGCCATTCGTGCCTCCTATTTACTACAGAATTATTCCTTTTAAATTCCTTGATCTCATCCCAACCTACTCTTCAAAAATCTGGTTTTCAAACTACCTTTGAGTAACCTGCATATAAGTTGTATGTGCTTAAAAATATCTGACTTGGATATTGCTACCACCTCCCCTCCCTAAAAATGCATTCCACCTCATTTCCTTGTAACCAAATTGCATCCACTCTAAGTCTTATCTCCAATCTACCTAGGAAGACTTTCCTGCTCATCTATTCTGTCCTTAAATTTAAATAAAAACTCTCTTTTCTGGGAATTTTACTTTATCCTTATTTTATTTATTTAAGACATTTTGGACTGCCTAAAAAAAAAAAAAAAAAAAGCGCCAGGCATGGTAGCACATGCATATAATCCCAGCATCTTGGAAGGCTAAGGCAGGAGGATTACAAGTTCAAAGCCAGCCTCAGCAACTTAATGAGGGCTTAAACTACTTAATAAGACCCTGTCTCAAAATAAAAAACTAAAAAGAGCTTAGTGGTTAAGTGCCTCTGTGTTCAATCCCCAGTACAAACAAACAAACAAACAAAAACAAGTACTATATTGAAATTCCTGTAGAATTTCCCCCAGAAATACAATGTTTGGGTAGAGAGTGAGGAGTCACTACATTTTTTATAAACTATTAAAAACAATTTTTTGTTTAAAAATGAAAAAAGAAACAGATGCCTACGTACAACAGGTAAACAGTGCAAATAAGTTATCAATGAAAAAGTGAACCTGACACTCTTTTCCCAATCACTCCTAAATTCCCCAGACTTTTTTTTCCTACTCTGGGGATTGAACCCAGGGGTTCTCTACCACTGAGCTACATCCCAGTCCTTTCTATTTTGAGAGAAATTCTCATTAAATTTTGCTGAGTCTGAACTGGAACTTGTGATTCTCTTGCCTCAGCTTTACACGCCATTGAGATTATGCCTGACTAACACAATCTTTCTCTCTCTCTCTCTCTCTTTTTTTTTTTTTTACTCAAATAGGGTCATATTTTGCAGCTTGTCTTTTATTTTTTTAAAATTTTTTATTTATATATGACAGTAGAATGCATTATAATTCTTATTTCACATATAAAGCATAATTTTTCATAATTCTGGTTGTATACAAAGTATATTCACACCAATTAATGTCTTCATACATGTACTTGGATAATAATGTCCATCACATTCCACCATCATTTATAACCCCCATGCTCCCCCCCTTCCCCTTGTCTTTTCAACAACAATAAATCTTGGAGTTTTTTTTTCATAACATATGTGGATTTATCCAATCTTGCCTGATAGAATTTTGCTGATGTTATAGATTCCCTCCTAGAGACACTGAGACCCTTCCCAATTTGTGCAATCATAACTCTGAAGAAAATTTTTATTAGTAAAATCTTGAGCTACATCACTGGTCAAGAAGCCTGCATCATATGAGCATAAATGTCCTCTGCTCAACACTAATTACCTCTGGGTAGTCTTATTTCTTACTCATCTCTTAAAGGTCCCACTACTTCTTAACATTGCCACACTGGGAACCAACCTTCCAACACACAAACCCTTAAGGGACAAACCGAAGCAGAAACTACCAATGGCTAAAAATGTATATAAAAACTTTCTCATCATCACTTTTCACTTGAAAATGTAAACTGAGAACACCTTAGGGCTATCAGGCTCATGCCTGTATCTCCAACACCATTTAAAGAATCGAACATATCCTTATATATTCTCTTAGTATTTATAGTCACTTTTGTCTTTACAGTTCTCAAGTTCTAAGAAGCACACAAGCTTATCCAAAGAATGATGAAGATTCTTTGCCTGGCCAGACTTTAGTCAGGCTTCTGAACCTTCTCCTAAGCCCATCTGTGTATTTCCTTATAAAAGTCAGCTATCAAAGAACTCTGCTAAGTCCATTTAGCAAGAACGCTTATCTTCAATATTTGATCAGCCTTAATGTCTGATCAGGTTCTTCATCTGCCAGCACACCCCAGTTGATGTATGATAACTCTGGCCTGTCTTCCCCTAGAATCCTTTTAGGTTAGTTTGGCTGTAATTCTTCTTATCTTAGCAATTTTTCCATCCACTGACTCTACTCCTTTGTTATACATTTTCACTTGCCCAATGCTGCATTCAAAATTGAGCTCCATCCCTCTTCCTGCTGCAAATCCAATTGCAGTGGTCAAGTGATCTGAATAAAGTTTTTCTCGCCATGCTCTAACAAGTGTCAATGAATAATTTCATTATAACAGAAAACAATTGATTTTTAATTTTTCATAGGTAGAATAAAGGGTTTAGTTTTATAAACGGGAAAATATACAAAGTCAGGGGATCTCCACTGATATCTGTTCAGGATGACTTTCTAAATTGAGTGTAAACAATTTCTTTCATCAAAATACCTCTGATATTCTGGCTTAGAATCTTACACTTATCATAGACTCTGGAAATACCAGCTTCACACTTCAGATAGAGCCCTAATATCCCGAGTATACAAAGAACTCAAAAAATTAAACAATAAGAAAACAAATAACCCAATCAACAAATGGGCCAAAGACCTGAACAGACACTTCTCAGAGGAGGACATACAATCAATCAACAAGTACATGAAAAAATGCTCATCATCTCTAGCAGTCAGAGAAATGCAAATCAAAACCACCCTAAGATACCATCTCACTCCAGTAAGATTGGCAGCCATTATGAAGTCAAACAACAACAAGTGCTGGAGAGGATGTGGGGAAAAGGGTACTCTTGTACATTGCTGGTGGGACTGCAAACTGGTGCGGCCAATCTGGAAAACAGTATGGAGACTCCTGGGAAAGCTGGGAATGGAACCACCATTTGACCCAGCTATTGCCCTTCTTGGACTTTTCCCTGAAGACCTTAAAAGAGCGTACTACAGGGATACTGCTACATCGATGTTCATAGCAGCACAATTCACAATTGCTAGACTGTGGAACCAACCCAGATGCCCTTCAATAGATGAATGGATAAAAAAAAATGTGGCATTTATACACCATGGAGTATTACGCAGCACTAAAAAATGACAAAATCATAGAATTTGCAGGGAAATGGATGGCACTAGAGCAGATTATGCTTAGTGAAGCTAGCCAATCCCTAAAAAACAAATACCAAATGTCTTCTTTGATATAATGAGAGCAACTAAGAACAGAGCAGGGAGGAAGAGCAGGAAGAAAAGATTAACATTAAACAGATACATGAGGTGGGATGGAAAGGGAGAGAAAAGGGAAATTGCATGGTAATGGAGGGAGACCCTCATTGTTATACAAAATTACATATAAGAGGTTGTGAGGGGAATGGGAAAATAAACAAGGAGAGATATGAATTACAGTGGATGGGGTAGAGAGAGAAGATGGGAGGGGAGGGAGGGGGGATGGTAGAGGATAGGAAAGGTAGCAGAATACAACAGTTACTAATAGGGCATTATGTAAAAATGTGGATGTGTAACCGATGTGATTCTGCAATCTGTATTTGGGGTAAAATTGGGAGTTCATAAGCAACTTGAATCTAATGTATGAAATATGATATGTCAAGAGCTTTATAATGTTTTGAACAACCAATAAAAAAAATTAAAATAAAATAAAATAAAAAAGAAATACCAGCTAAATTTTAATACTAACAAGTCATTTGAGAAATCTGGGTTTCTGTTTCTTTACTGATAAAATGCTGACTGCTTCTGCTTCTCTTGATATACCACAAGAAAAATGAAAAGAAATGATTTATGGTTAAGCCCTTTACAATCTAACAAAATATGAAACATTTGTATTTTTAAGTTTGAAAAAGGCTGTAGCAGAAATACAATCTTTCAGATTGGAATTTTATAAGGGGCCCCTTCTCCATACCAAATAAACAGACCTGTGAAGGAGAGGATGTTTCTGACATTTCTACCTTCTCTCTATCTCACATGTTTTTCTTTCCTTTTCCTTCCCACCAGTGCCAATTCTGCTGCTACAGAGTCTGCTCATGTGGTATTCACATCAGGGAGAGGAGAGCAGGTAGAAGAGCAATGGGCACATCCCTTCTGTCCTGTCTTGGAAGCTTCTAGCTATTTGGGGCTGCAGCACAGTGAAACACAATTCCTTGACTATGTGGCTGCCATTACTGCAACCAAAGCCAGATTTCTAATGTGCTGAAAATGAGGCTACTCACAAGACACAGAGGCACAGGGCTCCTGGCACAGACTCGCTGTCTCTTAGCAGAAAGTTGCCATCCGCTCCTTCCTTGAGCAATAAGATCTCACAGTCTCGCTTGGTCAGAGGGCCGTGGTAGTAAGGTAGATCCATGAAGAGCCTTCTTGTGTTTTAGTGGCCTGTTAACCTGAAATCCAACTCCAAGCCACGGGATGGCTCTGAACAGGGAAGAGGAGGCAGCTGGCTTAAGGAGGCTTGTGGAAATACCTCTTCCTCTAGTTGGGTGGGAAGGAGATGGGGTTGCTCAATGGAGCTCAGTGAGCTTCACAAGATTCAGGAAATGAGAATAGTGTGGGTGATAAAGTGACCAACCCATGTTAGCCTATAAGTGACTCACACACAAGCACGTGAGAACACATTCGAGTACAGTGGAATCTGATGCCATGACAGGGGCTGCAACACTGAAGACAAACTCCCTGAAACTGTGTTGCAGTTTATATGTCACCACCTACCATCAGTTTTTACCTTCTCTGGCTCTTGGTTTTTCTTTCCAAGGAACACACCACTGATTTTGCCTTTAATGGATACCCATTTTCTGCCAAAGCTGCCGCTCATTAGGCTAGCTTAGCTCAGAATGGGTATTCAAAAAGCATTTGGATGCTAAAAGAGTTGGATGTGTTCAGACACAACGGCCAGTTGAATGAGGAGCACTTCTACAAGTGAAATGGCATGAAAAATGTAAACATCAAAGGGAATAGAAAGCAATCGGACACCATGAGAAAAAACAGCACTTTCCATGCACAGAATTCTATCCATTAATGAACAAAGAAGCAGCTGAGAGAAATATCTGGTTATGCAAGACAGTGCAAGGATGCTTCTTCCAGATGGAAAGAGAGAGAGAGAGAGAGAGAAACTAGAACTGGGTTTGGAGACCCTCAGGTCCTTTGAGTCCCCATTCTGAAGGCTAGCAGTGATGTGTCCCATAAAGAAAGACCAAGAAAAGACTATCTGATCTGACAAAATGTTTATTCTGCTTAAAACTCCTACTTGATGTGAACATTCTTTTTATTTTTCTGCAGAATTTTTCCAACCTTGATCAGCTGACAATCTTGAGAAGGTAGGTAATTGTGTGGTTTCTGTTATCTGAGAATCAAAGTTAGCCCTAAAGTAATTTCAAAGGCCTTTAAAAAAAAAAAACTACACTGATCTATGTATTAACAATTGCTTTTAATCAATTTCAGGTAGAATAAGCTTATGCAAGCATATCTGTCATTTAGTGTTTCAAATTCAATTGCCTTTCTCTCTCAGTTACCAGCACACAAAGTCAATTTTTATAAACAAAATATGAATTCCCCTCCTTACTCACTGCCTCCCTAAAATATCTATTGGAAATCACTATGTATCTTGAGTACATATCTAAAAACAGAGCTATGTTTATGACTATCCTTTAACCTTCTTAACTCAGATGTGTTCTTCATCTTGTTACTTTGCTTACAACACACTTGTGATATTTTCTGCATGGAATTTCCTTGTAACAGATCCTTGTTCTTTGGAAGTCCCATTGATCCATTATTTGGTATAATGGAGTTACATTGATCAATTAATTTGTTAGAAGAGAGATATGCTTTCAAATATAACTTTTCTTGTGTGACCTTGGATAATACGCTGCTTACTGGGAATTATGGTAGTAGCCAAGAAAACAATCATTGATGAAAGAGTAAATTTAGTACCAAGTTGGGGTAAATATTTTTTTCCCACTTCTAGCAAGAAATTTATTTATGTTTCATATATACCTTATACACATAAACGAAGGTCGTTTTGTATAATATTTTAGATGTTTATATACAGAGATATGAAAAATTGTACTCTATATGTGTAATAAGAATAATGCATTCCACGGCTTTCATGTATTTAAAAAAATTAAATCAATAAAAGATTTTTAAAAATATAATATTTTCAATATGCCTGTTTTTAAGTTTTTTTTATTTATTATTTTTAGTTTTAAACGACAGTAGTGTCTATTTTGACATACTTATACAAGCATGGAGTATATATCTAAAGGTGTTTTTTGACATAAAAGAGGAAATGACTGAATGTATCCTCAGGATATTCGCTATCACAGGGGCTTTCTTGCCTTTTCTTCCTTACTGAAAACCTACTTCCCCATCCGCACTTATAACAAGAGAAATGCAAATTAAACCCATACAGAAGTAACATCTCTCATTTATACTGGTAAAAATAAGAAGCTTGAAAATATATTGGATTGGTCATGGTGGGAGTAAATAGAATTTCTCATGTATTATTGTAATGGCACCCCCTTTTCCCACAGAAAACTGGGTTTCTCCAGAAATCTTCACCATGGCTGATTTTAGGACTGGCAACAAAAGAGTCTACGCAAAAGAGTTCAATGTAGATAAACTTCCTATTTTCATATTGCCCTATTTTACTTGGCCACTGGCCAGGAAGAAATCAGCACTCTAGGTGCTGGACACCCCCTTACTAGTTTTTCATAATCATATCCAATATAGTAGTTTGTAGAAATGTGCAAACAAGGCCTCTGGCCTTGAGCTGAGCTTCACAGAGAGATGTCTATATTTTTAAGATAAGTTACCAATTTGGCTCCATAGTAACAGCTGGCAGGGGAAGAAAGAAAGGGGAGAAGAAGCTCTCCCCTTCTCAGGTGCTGTCCTGGAAGTGTTAACTTGCCTGAAATAGTGAAAGAAAAAGCTGCTTTTATGTGAATTTCTGCAGACTGTGAACTTCTGAGCCCCTCCCCTTACATGCTGGGTATAAAAATCTGAAACTACCTGAACTCGGGGTTCAGGGGATTGATTGATTACAGCAAAAGCTGTTCCCTCTGAACCTGGCTGCAGCCAAATAAAACTGTTTCCTGCTATCTTCAGTGCCTTGCCTCTTTGTCCCTACAACATTATTAGTTGGAATACTAAATAGTTGCAACTCCAATTGAAGAGAGCTTGGCGATATCTAGTAAAGTTACTTATATTTATCTTCTAATAGAATAATCTCCATTCTAGGAATCTAAAAAAAAAATTACACAGACAAAAATAGAAAAAGATTCATGCATATTGTAGGAAGAGATTACAAGCAACCCAAAGACTGGTGAATGGAAGATTAAGTGAATAAACTGAAATGCATCTAAATAATGCAATATTACTATACAGAGCTAAAATAGGGTGAGGAAGATCTTTATATACTCATTTGGACCAATCTTTAGAATACATAGTTTAGGTAGAATAGTAAAGCTCATAATAGCATGTAAAGTATGGGACATATCAACAAATATATCAATCTTTATATTTTCTCAAATTTGCACAAAACCCACTGGAAGAATAGAATTAAAACCAAGTAAAAATAAGAAGTCTATCTATGAGGACAGGGAGGAAACATGCATACAAGTGAGACTTCTCTAAGTGAAACTTATTATATAGTTTTGAATACGAAATCATGTAATTGCTTTATTAAAAATTTAAAAACTGTAAAAAGGCATGTCTTTTCTTTTTTCTTTTTTTGGTACTGGGGATTAAAATCAGAGGTGCTTAACCACTGAGCCACAACCCCTGCCCTTTTTTAAATATTTTATTTACAGACAGGGTCTTGTTAAATTGCTCAAAACCTTGATAAGTTGGTGAGGTTGGCATTGAACTTGTGATCCTCCTGCCTCAGTCTACCAAGTCACTGGGACTACATGTGTGTGTAACCCTACCCAGCAGCAATTGATGAAAACTTTAGGAAAACATTTAATAATTACCTTTCCAAAAGATGGATAAAACTTTTACTGCTTGAATCCATTGCATCCCTAATAGAAGGTTACCCAGACATTGAGCACCTTATTTTTTGATGCAGCAGGAAACATACAACACTACTATGAAGGATGTTTTCCAAAAAATTGATCCTGAAACTAATCATACCCTTATAACTAACTTCTAGTTTATGGGAACAAAGCAATAAATTAGAATGCATTATGAAGAAGCAGATGAGCCAATCCAATTCCTGAATAGAACAATGAATTTGTCTATTTATAAGTCATAAGAACTTAGTCAGATATGGGGTGAGGCCAGCTCTAATTTGAAAGAGATTTATGAGTATCTTGTTTGGATTCTGGTTTGAAAAAATTAAATATAAAAAAGAAAATTCCTGCCATTGGGGAAACTTAAGCATTGGTTCCATATTAGATGATATCAAGGAATTATGTTTAATTTTTTTCAGGTGAAGTAGTGGCAATATATTTATGTGAATTAAGCCATAAATTTTGGAGACATATATTAAAGTGTTATGTCTGACCCTGAGTGATTATGTCTGGGGCTCATTATATGGATGTCTTTATTTCTTGTGCATGTTGAAAACAGTTTCACAAAAAAACCCTTCTGTTCCCATGTTATTCTGATTTGATGTCACCTTGAGAATAGCTTCACAGCACACAGCAACATCTTTAGTTTTTCACATGGGACCCTTTTCTCCCATCCATGGAATAAAAACTTGGTGCCAGAACATGACCCTACCCCTCTGGCCATACTTGACTGGATGAATGGTATATCCCTGATCCCCAAGATGAGTTAATTATCCAGAAATTTGGAGGACATGAAGGAAAGAAAAAGGTGGAGAGGGGATATAAAAATGGAAATAAGTTATCTAGGAATGACTTATAACAAGTATATTTTTGCACTGTATGCTGGTGGTTATACCAACAAGCAACCAGTCCACAAACGAGGCATGATATAGACACATGGACAGAAAAAGAGTCAAGAGACACCCCTGATTGGATTTCCCATAGGTTTCCACTTCCTGGATCCAGTGATTTCTAAGGTCTGGTATACTCTTGCCCTTAGATTCTTTGTCATTTAAATTAGATTCCCTTTTATAATAAATTGGTTGGCATTTTATTTTCTACTAAAGATGTCAATTAAAAGCAGCATTATAGACAAAATTCTATTACTGAGACCAGTGGAGCATGAGGCCAAATATGAGTCACATGGTTACATAAGTGAAAACAGAAACAGGACATTGTGTGTCAACACCAGAAGGTCTAAGAATATCACTAATCATGGCAATGTAGTGAGTGCTTATATTGTGCTTGTTAAAAGATGCTTGATAGGGCTGGGGATGTGGCTCAAGCGGTAGCGTGCTCATCTGGCATGCGTGCGGCCCAGGTTCGATCCTCAGCACCACATACAAACAAAGATGTTGTGTCCCTGATAACTAAAAAATAAATATTAAAATTCTCTCACTCTCTCTATTTAAAAAAAGATGCTTGATAGAGACAGACAGTATAAGATCTCCCATTTAATTTTTATGATCTTATTTTAGGAAAT